TTTTAGATTTAGAAAGTAATGTTGGTCAGCTGATCTCCTTGATAGAATTATAATTTTATTTATCGCTAAGCAACTATTTGGGGGACACTGGAGGGCAGACTTGAATTAAACTCTGATTAATTTTCCAAAGAACTCCATACATTCATAATTACAAAAAAATTCAAGGTGTATGTTTGTGTGTATGTGTTCCAATAGTATACTAAAAAAAAACCAATATAGTCAATAAAAATTACAAAAATGCAAGAATGTTATTACATGTATAAACTAGAATGGAGAGGATAATTTTATTATTACTCTGAGATTTTATAAAAGGAGAAGCAGTATTAGAAATATTACCTTATTCATATAAGCAATATATTAATATTTTAAACTTCTGGAAAAAACAATTGTCAGATCAAAGCAGGTTCTTTCATTTTCTTCATTTCCTTTTGTATTAAATGCATCCAGTAAATTAACTTAGTAGCTCAGACTTCTCTTTTGAACTTTCTGTTGAGTAATAAATAATTACTGGATTATGTATTTATTATATAGTTGAAGGTAAAGTAAAAGAACATTTAGGCCCAGCTATTTAAAAGATCACCTTCTAATACAGGTAGTCCTCAACTTGTAATCATATATTTAGTGACAGCTCAATTACAGTGGCTATTTATAAGAATTGTAGTGTCCAAGAGTCATGTAATCATCTGACAAGCAAAGTTAATGGGAAGGTAATGACATGTCTATTAAACTAGAGATTTATGGAATAACTATTTCAATTTGCCTATTTCTTTTTTCTGTTTCTTTAATTAAACTTTTAACTTTTTTTTAACTTGATTTTTTTTTGTATCTAGTATTTAAAAATAGGGTTAATTTATTGTTTATTATAGTTTTTACTTTTTAGTTATTATTTTGTTCTGGCACCTGAAGAGGGATAGGAATAAAATAAACAAAGTGTAAGCCATGGATAAAATAAGCAAACAAAAACAGAGGACTGATTTTTATTGAGATCATGACTAAGTGGGTTACTCTATCACCATTTGCAATTCCAATACTGCTTAAATCCAATGTGACAGGTACTTACATCATCATCATCTCATCATCAATGTAAACTATTTCAGTAACTAAAAACAATATTTACAAACTAAGTAAATCAATATTAAAGGTGATAGTTTTATCATGGAAATACAAACTTGAACTAAACAGTTCAGTTAGTAAAATACAGAAAACACCTGGTTATTAAAGCAGGATATGGTCACAAGTGTATACTGTAAAAGTGGTTAGCACATTTTGTTGTTTTATACTGTTAATAATTTGTTAAGTGGTATTCATCCTTGTAAATTGCAATTTAGTTGAAAAATTCACAGAACTAATTTATATATTCAATAAATAGAAAGGGACCTTTACAAAAACCTACAGTTACTGTACCACAGAAGAGTTTACTTCATTTTCAGTTTAACATATGAAAACCAAGAATGTCAATCACAAAAAAATCATATATTGCACTCAATCAAAATATGAATACCTCATTAATATTCTGCTAAAATATTTCAATACATTGTGCTTTTCCAAAGTTATGAGAAACATTTTATTAGTATCACTCTACTGTGCATTTTGTATGAATTTCATATTTTCTGGGTTTTCACTCTTTCAATTTTGATTGTGCATAAATGTAATTAACTATGTATACGTACAATACATTTATATATGTATTATTACCAGGTGGAATAGATAGCTGTACATATGCTTGTTCAAAGACTATTCAAGCAACTTAAATTTATAGATGTTTTATTCCATCATCTTTTGGGGAAATTCTAAATTATTTGAATGTATAAAAAATTGTTTTTACTCAAAACAAAAATGTTTTCTAGAGTCCTAAAACTTTAGTACTACAAATATTTTACTTCCATCTTGTGGAATTTTAAATAATGAACTATAAGATAAATTCAAATAGCTTTCATCTACAATGGCTGTATATTCCTGCACAGAAACTAATTATTCAAAATAAATGTTTAATATAATGCTAGTAAACCATAAAATATGTAGAAAATTGTGTAAGGATGAATTAATACTGTTATAATAAACATCCCAGAGATTTCATAAAATTAGTTAGGTTTTGTCCATTTTAAATTTCAGTTATTTCAGAAAATGGAAAGTTTCCAAAAATGTCAAATACAAACAATTGCCAAAAAAAATTCAACTATTTATTTAAAAAATTGGGTCTCTGGAAATTTGAAAAATCTCTCTTTGAATACAAATAGAATTTCTAAGTACATGATACAGTTAATATAAAAACAGTCTATCAAGCTGCTTCTTACTTAAAAACAGAAGTATAAAATCTGTGTTAGAAATGTTTTGGTTGAAAAGCAACTGCAAAAAGCAGTGGGTGGGAGGAATAAAAATAAGCAATGTTACTCTTGCACTAGGATTCAAAGATTCATGAACATTTAGGAAGCACTAGAATGTGATGCCAATGTTCATATACATTCTTCAATCCCGCAGAAGTTGTTATAAACTAATTAGCTAAAACCAGAGGGGAAGGAGGGTGCAAAATTAGGGAAATTATCAATACGGCCATGCAAAAATAAAAATGCCAGACAAAACTAAATCTTTTCCTTCCAAAATATTGTATCATCTGTTAATCGTCATGACCTATTTCCCATATAATGTAAAGCTTACGATTTAAATGTGATGCAATTTTAAAACCAGTTTGATGCAAGGAGTAAAATAAAAAATAATTCTAATCCACACTATTCTTAAAAATGCTAAAATATTTAAGATTAATATCTCTGTTCAATTTCAGAAGCAAATATTGTATTGTTGTTTCTTAGGTTGGTTTACAAACTCTTAACACCCAAAAATAACTATCATCCTAATCATTTTGAATTCACTGGCATTATAAAAGAACTTTAGCCCGTCCCAAATGAAGATTAATACCTTTTGTCTCTTCCAACTGATCTCTTTGTGCACTATGCCAAGACCTACTGTATATTCTAAGCCAGGGGTGTCAAACTTGCAGCCCATAGGTCAGATACAACATGCACTGATCATGCCTACCCCCGGTTTAACAAAGGAAGGGAAAGTCACAATATATCACGTGATAATGTGACATCGTGAGTTTGGCACCCATATTCTAAGCCCAAAACAGTTTTACAACACCAATACTTTCTGTACATACAAATTAATACAAACAATGAATTGCACCCATTTTAGTCATGGTTTAAATGTGACAGCAAATATACCTTTGGCAGCTGGATCAATCATATTAGGATAGACCAGTGCAGAGTATTAACTGTCTAGATCTGGGATGATGGGAAAGGTAAAAATAAATATTCTCTTCATAGTATTAGAAAATATTAATATATGTACAGTAGATGCTGTATATTGTAAAATATTAATTGCTGTTACTACGGGCAGAAAAGATTTGCATATATTGGAATACTGTAGCTATTTTCATAGTTACAATTTGAAAATAGTGGCACAATAATGACACATTAATTTTTTTTATACCACATTGTGTACACAGATCTGAATATTGTTTTCCAAATGTCAGCTGCTACTTAAACTGACCTGTATCAGGGTGCCTAACAAAGAAGGTTCTTGCTTTTAAGTATGGAACTGGCAAACCAATTCTAAATCACATCTAATAATGACTAAAATAATTCCAGCTGCCAGAAATAGCAGTGATACCAAAGATTTCATCTGATAGAGGTCTATGACACATTCATTTTCCAATACAATTTACCTGCTGAGCAAATTAATTCCTAAATTTATCCATATTAAAACATCAATATTGTATTTACTAGAATTATCCATACTATTCCATTTTAACATTTAATCACTGAATTTAGGTTATACTATTGTAAAACAAGTACCATATTTTTCAGTGTATAAGATGCACTCCCCCCCCCCCAAAAAAAAGTGTGTGGAAATGGCTGTGTATCTTATAGAGCTAATGTTGCTGAAGCCTCGCCCACTTGCCAGCCCCCATCCTTCAACCTCTGCCTCCCAGCAATATGCCTCTGCAGCAAACAGCCTGGTCAGCTTCAGCACAGCCTGATTAGCACAAGCAGCTGATTGTCGGTTGGATCTGCCTCCTGATGATCAGCTATTTCAGGCTGCAGGGATCGCCATTGCCACCTCCACATGCCCCATTTTTGGCCTCTGCATCACGTTTTCGGTCTCCGTGCACCCCATTTTCAACCTGTTCCGATCCCTGCCTGGAATGGGCATAGAGGCCGAAAACTGGGTGCGGAGGCTGAAAATGCGGCATGCGGAGGCGGTGATGGCGATCCCTGCAGCCTGAAACAGTTGATTGATTGCCTGGAGGCCGATCCACCAACTATCAGCTGCTTGTGCTAATCAAGGAGTGCTGAAGCTGACCAGGTTGTTTGCTGCAAGGAAACAAATTGTTGGGAGGCAGAGGCAGATTTTTTTTCTTGTTTTCCTCCCCAAAAGTTAGGTGCGTCTTATACTTCAGAGCATCTTATAGTCTGAAAAATACGGTAACCTGATGCAATTTAGTTGACTAAAAAAAGAGCTTGAGGGATCCTAACATGCAGTACTATCATTGAATGGCTCTTCTACACAGCAACATTAGTTGGAGGTTATTGGTCTGTTGAGATAGTAATGCTGATAGTAGGTAGTCGCTGCTGATTAGATTGTTTGTTTGGAACTGTAAGGTCTATTCTTTCAGTTTCAAATATCAGATTTCCTTCTTGTAAACTGCACACTGAAAGCCTATTTGTTTCTGTGCCATTATGATTACTTGGGATCACACCACCACAGACCTGCTCAAATGATTTACTAAAAAGAGTAGTGCTAGTTCTAGCCAAGCTATGACTTCCTGATTTTGGCAAGGATTGGCTGCTAGTTAGAGTCAGCCTTTTTAAAGAGAGAAGCTCTAGATTTTCACTTAATGCCCTCTGATTTTGTTTGTGAGATAAATGTTCTTTGAAGGATTCAGCACAGATATCTTTTTCTTTTCCTCCAACTTTGTTTCCTCCAAGCCTTCGTTGACTCTTGCCCATTATAGTTTTATTACTGGTGTTGCTGCTACTTTTTGATGAAATAGAATGACTTGTAGTAGAAGTAGCTCTAGAGTAAAAACCTTCATCAACTTCAGATACTTCTATTAATTCTTCTTCTGGAATTCCTAATTCGTTACCTGTATGGAGACAGAACACTGTATATATTTCATTGGTTCTTGATAGATCTTTCTATTCAAGCACAAAGCAAAAGATTTCAGAGCAGACAAGAAGCTCATCTATTATATCAATGTAATATATTACATGACAATAAAACATAAAGAAACAAAGCATGCTTACAATCTCATTGTGTGGTGATTTTTTTTTAAGCGCCTGTTATTCATGCAAGATTCAGAAGAGATTAGATCTATAACAGCTAGAAAGAGGAATAAACCTATGTATGAGCAAGGTATCTACGTACTACAGACAGCAAAATAATCATGGAAATAGATAATCAGAACAGCAGACCAGCCAATAGGGCATCACCTGCAGGTGCTCACATTTTTAGCAAATCCAATTGTGTTTCATATTTAAAGGGCTGAATGGCCACATTCTGTACTAAAGAGTTAAATTTAGTAATGATTCTGGAATCATCATTGTAACAGATGGGAAAACATTAAAATAAATTGATATTGTTTATATACACTTGAAAGAAAGGGTTGTTTCAAATGTGTAAAATAAAAATGCTGGAATGACTCAGAACTAAAAAGTCCAAGTTTAACGTTAATGAAATTTGAAATCTCCCAATGTGGTTTCCCAAGCTAAGATAAATCTATTCGTTGTCAGTATGCTATCAATATGTGGAGCACAGAGATCAGCTCTATGTGCAAAGCATGCAATTGTGTTTGACTAAAAGTACATGCAAATGTCTATTGTTGATTACTAAAATCTTTAAAACATGCAGCCATGACCCTTTCAATTGATACCTTTTGAATGTAGCTACAAAGTGCTCTGCTAAAATTGCATTCTGCCAGGTGAGCTTATTCCATCCTCCATAATTTTTCTTACAGATTTTTGCCTCCTGATCTCTGGCAAGCTTTTGCTGTCAACTCTAGGCTCTGTAGGAATTTCCTGTACACCCTGAATATGTTGATCACTCTCTCCTGGCATTCTGTTTTTTTCCCCATTCCTGGTTCTCTCTCCAGCCACATTTGTGACACTAATCTCGGGTATAACAAAGTTGCCCGATTCAGTAGTGTCATTAGTATTATCTGGTTGCTCTAGAATTAAAGATGAATAAGACAAAAAGAAAAAAGAAAGAAAGAAAAAAGATGGCTGAAACAAAAACCATGGAGACAAACAAAAAGACACGAATTGGACAGAAAACCTGACAGTCTGAAGGTTTCAAAGTCAGAGGTTTAATTTCCTGGCCTGTCATTAGTAAAGAGAGTTATTTCATGATGTCTAGAGAGACTAAACCATACAATGTTTCTGAAAATGGGATGGAATATAGGTTGCAGTAAATAGAGTCAATTTTCATAAAAGTGAACTCTGGAGCGAGTGCAACTGAAAAAAAATATCTTACATAACTAAAGAAGTTCAATATATAAATACATTAACATTTAGTTTAAATATATCCACTAACAGTATAAGGAACATTTTACTGAGATACTAGTTTTCATTAGTATCTCAGAACCAGTGATTTTGTCATATTCAACATTGTTTCTTAAATATTTTTACACTATTACTTGCACTAGGACATTTTATAAAATGTGCAGATTCAAATTATAAAAGAAAAGTATTCTTTTTGAAAATTCAAGGATTTCTATCTTTTTGAATTCCAACAGATGTAGCTCTCTTTCTTGCCATCTATGTTCTAATACACAATGTAGTGCTTCCTCACAAGGACCAATGTCCATATCATTTATCTTGTTATCAGTAGAAGCATACAGCAGAGGAGACAATGCACTCAGTCTTCCCATTTCCAGACTTTTTGTGGCTTGCCTGTATATAAACTGGGAATTAAGGAAGACAAATAAGGCTTTATTAAAACTAAAGTGTGAATGCTGCATACTTTATATCACACATCTCTTCTACCTATTTCTGTAGCAAATGCATAAAATTAAACAAAATAAAATGCAGATTAAATGAATGCTTAAATTAATATTTTACAATAGTTTCAAAAATATGTTTTTGTTCAATGAATTTTAAAGTTATTTCTAATACTCTTGTATTATAAAACCTACACAATAGTTTAACTAATGATAGCACAATTTCCAATGCAAATAATACCAACAAAATATTGTAAATGTGTCATTTAGAAGCATTACAATATTAAAAATATTTTCATATATGAATCTCTTATTGAGTTTGATTTATAGAAAGATTGTACAATGGAAAAAGAAATATAAATAGCAAGATTCCTTTATCACAATTGTCCTAATTCATGAAAACTGCATTTTGGGTATATCACCATCAACTCACTTATCACTTATTCTGCAGTATTTGATGATTGATGCTTCAGAACACATTTGACTAGTTACAATCACCTCATAGTTGTATACTTATGTACTGAATCGAAATATTCAGAAAAGGTGATGGGCACTGACCATATTTGGATTTAATCTGATTTGGCAATTCAGGAAATAGACCAGTATATCAAATCTCTATACTTTCTGTAAACTTCCTGGAAAATCCACAAACAGCTGTAGCTTTTTTAACAGAAAAATATACAGCTATAGACACTACTGAGCATATGAAATCTATCCAATTTTATATGTGACAGAATTTTGGATAACAGCACTCTTTCAATTCTTTAAAGAGATTTAGAATGAAGCCAATAGTTTGTTTTGTTTTGGGACAAAATGGATGACTACAAAAAAAATGTGATTCAAGTTCACACCTTTCCTTCCTATGAATTTAGTAGCTACCCAACTCCAATGGATTATGTGGGTATTTGAAACTGAAACAGCTAGAGTGATCAGGGAGCTACTAAAGAGATTTCCTTATAATACAAACATCTCTATTTCTCTTCCTGCTTCTCCTCAAAGGTCTTACATTAAATAAAAATTAAATGTAGTGGGCACAGAGTCATTGTTTTTTTGTGTTTTTTTTGCAAATGCCCTCTCTACATTGCTTCAGAGCACAAAGCATCGCAGTTCCAACTCAATTCAGATTACTTTAGGATTTTGTTTCTCTATATGAAGGATCAAAATGAAATGTGCCACCCTAACAAATGTATGAACATTTCAATGTACTTTTGATTTATTGATTTCTAAGTCATTATATATAACAAAAGGACATGGGAAGAGGAAAAAAGTAAAAACAATTCCAAAGTATAAAAGATAGCTGAGTATATAGGATAGTTTCACTGAAATAGCTGAGGAATAAATGGGGCAGTGAGTTTAGCTAAAGTTTGAAACAAAGCAAGCTCTAATAAAATTAGAATAGAATAGAAAAATAGAGTCGGAAGGGACCTTGGACGTCTTCTAGTCCAACCCTGTTTAGGCAGGAAAACCTACACCACTTCAGACAAATGGTTATCCAATCTCTTCTTAAAAACTTCCAGTGTTGGAGCATTTATAACTTCTGGAGGCAAGTTGTTCCACTGAATAATTGCTCTAATTGTCAGGAAATTTCTCCTTAGTTCTAAGCTGCTTCTCTCCTTGATTAGTTTCCACCCATTGCTTCTTGTCCTGCCCTCAGATGCTTTGGAGAAAAGCTTGACTCCCTCTTCTTTGTGGCAGCCCCTGAGATTGCAACACTGCTATCGTGTATCCCCTGCGGTGGTCTCTCATGAATGAAAACACTGAGACGACGTCTTGAAGCAAGATCGGGATGAGAGCACAAAACATACTCTGACACCCTCTTTTATTAGAAGCAATCCTTGTAACAATTTTGTTAGTGTCTTGTCACAAACGCATTACATCACACAAAATGCACTGATTATTCGTGTAAGCATACAAAGCTGCAAAGTTTAAGTTTGCTACAATTCTGGGTAAGAAATGGCAACATTTTGACCTTGTTCCTTGCTTCGTGTTGCAGTCAACTACCAGAAGGCCCGTTGTCCTTGCACGTACACAAAGAACAAATAATTCCCAAAATCCCCTAGTCCTTCTTTTCAATTTAAAAAAATGATACAATAAAAGTTGCATCAAGACATAAATCTTAAAAATGAAACGCTCTGCCAAACTGAAAAAGTATGTGTAGATGCTATATAGACATAGTCAAAACCACTTTTTAAAGGAAAAGGAAAAAGGAAGTGAAAAGTATTGAGCCATCATAAGCATTTTTACAAAGTAAGCACCTAACTATCAAATGGAAAAATAATGATGTAACATATTACAGAATTCAATTAAAAGAATAAAATATCTTTTCAGAAGAAGTTTACAAATCTGAAATTAACTGATTAAATAAGAACAGATTTCCATAAATATCGCCTTTTGGTAACTGATTGCCTTTAATAAGACTATGCCCACTGGAAAATAAAAAGTGCTTTGAACAGGTTTTGACTAGAACTCCCATGCCTGCAAATGGGAGCAATGGTGCTATTTTTAATAAAATTTACAGTGTATAGCACATTAGGCTGCTTGTCTGCCCATTACTTATCAATTCATTTATTTATGTATATAAATATAACACTTATACATTATTCTAGCCCCAAAACCTGAACAAAATGACAGGTCTCCTTTTGAGAAACAACAAAGCTGTTACTCTCTGGACTTTATGCCCCACAATATAGCACTAAGTAATAATGATAGAACCTGAAGTACAGCAACACCTTTATCTTATAGGTCAAACATGGATACATGGAATTTCCATTACTTCCATGGCATTCCAAATGTCTGATGTTTTGGGGAACAAAATAACACACTCCGATTTTCCTGAGACAGGGTGCCTTTCTCCTTTTGATACCCTCTTTCCTGCACTCTCGAACCACTATTAAAGCCTGGTTTATCTCTGAATAGAAGTCTACCTCTAACGGGTTGTGGTTTCTGTTGCAAATACTCAATTCCGTTCTTTTTTGCAGAATGTTATGAAATGCACAGGAAAGATGTTTTCTTCTTCTATAACTGAACTACATCACACAAAGTGAAAATTGCTTTAAAACAATGGTGAGATCACATAATCCAGGCATTTAATCCAGGCATTCTGCATAATTCTGCATTCTAATAATTCTGCATTCTAATCCAGGCATTCTGCAAAAACATAGTTTACAAAATAGCTGAAGTTGCACATGGAAATAAAATAAATTTTAAAAAACCTGTATGAATGTCAAATAGCAGAAGGAAAATATTACCTGTTTTTTTAAATTATAGCATCTAACTTACAGATGGTATTTATATTTAACTGTTTTTTTCCCTATGATACATATGTACACATATTGAATAAGAAAGAAATTCAAAATTTTCTATTAATTTTCTGTAGTTTCTTTGCTTTAACATTAAATACTAACTAAATTACCTGCCATTTTTAATAGGGATTAATTATTCCAATCAGTATTACCATTGTTTATCACAAAATTCTCATTAGTCTATACTTTTATGATCTAAGTAAAATTTGTCTGATTTCCACATCTTGCAAACTTTACTTTGTCTCATAGTACCACAGTTTTTTTAAAATAAAGTTTTATTGAGTTTTAACAAAACAAATAAGACATCTTATTTGAGTACAGCATGGTTCTGGGTTATCACATTTCCATACAGACACAATTTCATATGCATATTCATCTTATATATTCAACTTCATATCTTATTACTCTTTTTCCAAGTTCTCACTATTTCTCCCTTTACTTCTCTTAATTTTCTTTTATGATTATCTCATTTTCTTCTTATTTAATTGTATTTCTTTTACCTAAATTTCTATATCTTTTTATTCAGTATACTTATACTTTCGTCTGTCTTGTTTACAATTTCATTATGTTCACTTCCAACATCCTTAAAAAGCAAAATTCCCTCTATAATTGCTAATCGGAGTGCAACACCTTTAAGTCTTATTGTTATTATCATATGAAACTTCATTAAACATTAAATTTGAGCATTCTAAAATTATAACATTCAAATTTCTAATATCTATTTTATATCATGCAAATTTCATCATTCAGACTCTGCTTGGTACTTCCCCTTAAAAATGTTAAAAAAAATTCTAAAAACATAGCAAAAACAATATATATATAAACATTAGTGAACAAAATAGTTATTCAAATTCATTTTTGTGCTGGTATGAGCCTTGTAAATCTTTCACGTTTCTTTTCAATATTTATCAATCTTTGAGAACAGTTGAAATGTTTCCCTCCCTTCTTCATTATTACTTAATTGTTAATAAGCATACCATTGGATAGTCATACAGTTTTATCTTATAAGTTATTTACTATTAATAAGCAAAATAATTATTCAAATTCATTCTAGTAACTGGTATAAATTTCCTTATAAATCTTTCACATTTCTTTTCAATATTTTATCAATCTTTAGAAACAATTACAGTGTTTCCCTCTCTTCTTTATTATTGCATTAATTATAAATAAACATACCATTACATAACAATACAATTTTATCTCATAGATTATTTACTTATTTCATTTCTAACTCATTACAGTATTCTACTTTCACGCTATCTTTTGCACCTTTTCAGAAACCTCACTTTTAACTTAATTTAGCCATTGTCTCTGTGTTTTCTAGCTGAGCAAATACCTTTAATCCTAGTACGTTTCCCCTTTTTCTTTATTTCCTGCTTTTGTCCTTCATGAGTTCTTTCCCTTTCTATCTTCCCCTCCTTTTTCACATCCCCTTTTTTATACCCTTCCCTCTCTAATTTTCCCTTCTGTGGTTTTCTTCTGCTTCTCCTTGCTGTTATACTTCCTTGTCAGACTATTTTTCTTTTTGGCTGTTCCCTTTGATCTCAAACTTTAAACTCCTTTCCCCCTTTTTACCACACTTTGCATTATTTGATCATTGAAAATGGCTTCTTCTTTATCCCGCCCTTCTTCTTGCTCTCGAAGCTTTTCCTTTTGCTTTTCATAGTTCAGGATCTCCATTTCAAGAAATTCAAATACGAAGCCAAAGGATCTTCCTTCCCTTTCTTCATCTTCTTTCTGTTTTTTAAGATTCATATTCAATTCCTCCAGGAGTGATGCCATTTTTAACACTTTTGAACAACCACCTGATTTACTTTAAGTAAAAACAGAAAAAGAAAGAAAAAAACCAATGGCAAAAACTTTTTTTATATCACCAAATGATCCCAGACTGTTCCTTCTTGTTTCTTTTCTTTACTTTTCCTTTCTGTGGGTTACTGTATCTTTTAATAAGGTTTCAGTTACAATGTATCCTCGGGAGTCTTTTCAAAGTTTCGCTGTTAATCCTCTTTATTTTTCCAGGTGGCACTCCATTTTTCATTATTCCAAGTTCCACCCTTTTGCCTCCACTCTTCTCCTTTTTAGGGCTTTAAAATGACCAAAGAAAAAATCTTTATTCTCCTTTTGACACTTAAATTTCAGCTTAAAGTTGCCTATTAGTGTCAAAGTAAATTAATATAGATTTCTTTCCATACCATTTGCAATTGTCAATATATAGGTAAAAAAATGGGTTTTAACCTCCTTTTCTCTCTCCTTCGTCGCTTAAAAGTCTTCTTTCAGAAGTATCCCTCTAAGTACTTTTAGATTCAGGGTACCTTGCTCAGATGTTCTCTGTTGTTTAGCCCGGTCTGTCCTGCTTTCCTCTTTGTCTTCCTCCTGCACAATCTTATCCAGTCGGGTTCTTCTTTGAGGTGGCCATTTCTGGCCACCGCTGCAACCGCCTTCGGGAAAGGGAGTTTAGACCAGCCAAGAAGGAGAGATGCGGCTCCCCTCCACTCAGCTAGCAATCTCCCCCATCTTCACCACCTCTACGGGGTGGCTTCAGCCCCGAATCCAACGGATCGAGGTGCTCCAGCGGCGAGCACAGATCGAAACCGCACACGATCGCGGATTTCGGTCTGTCGCTGAAGAAACCCAAACCGGAAACCCATAGTACCAGAGTTTAAGGCAAAGCATCTATTTTAGATAATTGAAGAGTTCTGTTCAATTTACCAACATGTGAATTAATCTTATAATATGTGAATGTCCAGCCACTGTATTATCGACACAAAAAATTAAGCCTCCTACATATTCTATTATAATCCAGAAGGAAAAATAAACACCAAATCTAGTATTCTTTCTAATTCTGAAATAGGCCTATGTGTAACCAACTGACTAAAGAATAGAAACCAATACTTTTGAATAAGACAGAGCATGAAACATATTTCTGAAAACAGCAGAAAACTATTATTTTCTCAAAATATTATTTCTCCACAAGGTCATGAAGATTAAAGATACTTGTTATTTTGTCTGGATCTCAATGATATATTTCAATGAATAATTCCATCTCACAATTGGCTAGTATATTGAGCTGCAATAGGCGATCCTGTCTTTTTAGTCCAGATCTTAAGGGATATGCAATCCAAAGAATTCTAATCAACTTCAAAAATTGAGGTAGCAATATTGAAAAAGCAAAAAGACGTCACCCCTTTCAAACTAATAAATAAATAATTATACTAAATATGGAAATAATTTATCTTGAAGCAAAATTATCAATCAACATTTTACAAAGATGTCTCCGCATTTCTTTCCATACTGTGTTTCACATATCACAGATAATTAACAATATTCAAAATTCAGTCATACAATAATCAAACAAATATCCTGGCACACATTTTTCTATTGTTCCCACTGTTGTTCTGCCAGCAGAACACTGAACAAGTCAATATTTGTTTAACTAAACTAATCTAAACTTCTAGACTTGTTCTCCTAACAAGCCAGGTTCTAATAATAACCTGTCAGATGCAGGCTCCTTTCCACCAGAAGTAATTAGAAGTATGTAAAAGCTCTTATATATAGTTGTAATAAATCAAAGTAATTTGATGGGAAATTTATCTATAAAATAATCCCCAAATTCTCCACCAGGAGCCAAATGGTACTTTATTTCCTCTTCATTTTGTTACATTATGAAATTATTTTCCTGAAGGGAAGAGTATCCAATATATTGGATACTTAAGGATCTGCAGCAATGCTTTCATACCTCTCAAATTATCCTTCTTCTTAATAGAATAACATTTCATCTTTATTGCAGTCAGTTGCTTTACTAATACTATCAAGCCTCTTGCCTTATTGTTTGTTATCTGCTGCAGCAAACATTTGTCCTAACCATTGCCTCTTGAACTTCAGCACCTGTATCATCAAGCATGACTCCTGCAGAAAGGTAACAGTAGTAAAAGTAGTGTGTGAAAAGTGCAAGATATGTATCTTTTCTGGATTACCAATATATTTATACTTATATAAAATATTGGAAACTACATTAGCTAGACAAAAACAAAACTCTGTGTTAGTTATTGATTTGAAGTAATATATCAGTATTTCCGTTATAAGCTCTTAGCAAGGTAGCAATGAGAAACTGTAACTATTGCTATCACTAATCAAAAATATAGGAAAAGAACTCTGCTATAGTTTATTTAGTAAATTATATCTTCTTTGTGTTCAAATAAACTAATATTACTATCTATTCTGCATCTAACCTTAAAGCCACAAAATCATTATTGGATTTATGAATCTATTCTCTAGTGCTGAATGTGTATCAAAAGATAGAAATACCTTAGCAGTTCCAACTATGTTTGGTATATCTATAATGTATAAGGCATAGTACATGAAAAACAAAACCACTGTGCAATAATCAGTATAAAACTTTCATTAATGGCAACAAAGTTATAAACACTGCTGTAATTTATGTCAGATTAAGAAAAATAACATGATCAATCAATCATGTCAATAATTACTTTGAAATGATATATTTGAAATCAAAAGAATTTTAATATAATGTATAACATTAATTGACAAATAATGTATGATGAACTGTAAATAAGCATTGCTTGGTTTCTTATGCTAATGAAAACAAAAAAGACATAAAACCTCTTTATGTTAGAGAAATAAAATAACATAAAAGTTATTTGGCCTTTTTATACTATGTATGGGATCTCTTATTAGTATAATTAAGAATATCGATTTTTAAATAATCATGATATATCAATTTTGGAATATCAATTTTTGTTATGGTATAACTAATATTTTATGGTTTTATTAATATTTTTAGAAACTAAGTTCTTACCATGCCTTTTCCATCTATGGCCCCGAATAGACATACTGGTCACAGCATTTCTTGATATCCTTGATGCTGTAGGAGTAATTTCAACCTGAATACATTTAGTACCTTCTTTGTTAGATTTTATGGCACCTTGAGGCAATGAAGCTTTTATTGCATTAGCTACCTAAAGAAAATAACAATAATTAAATAAAATGTGGGTGAGATTGTCACATTAACATGGCTTTTGAATTGAAACAATATTTATCATACATCAAAAATTGCATCAGATATGACAAAAATCAAGAGAGGTAGTAATTTGACTTCCATCTGTTCACAATTACTGCTTTAGTTCAGATGATTAAAGACTTCAATCAGAAAACATTTGCTTTAAAAGCTATTGCCAAATCCCATTAATGATTAAATTTCCTCATCTTTTTTTAAGCCACCCACTGAACAGAGTATAGATTTCTTTTTCCTGACAATTTATTTTCTCTGTGCAATCATTTTTTCAGTAGCTGAAATCTTTGAGACTAAGAAAAATAATGAAGCAGTGCTTTGGACTATAAGATGGAAATATGTATCTGCATGCAGTCCAGAAAAGCATTTTCTGCCAGTTACTTGATGAACAATCTAGTAGAAACAGATTGTTGCTTTCTCAATAGTGAGACTTCCTCTTGGTGCTCAAGTACCCTGCTAAAAATTGCTGTTCTCTGTAGTATGGAATATTTATGGTTTCCGATTAATATAATGTTGCAGATATATATAGTAGGACAGTGCAGAGCATCTATTTTTAAGACAAAAATGTGTCTGGACTATGCAGAACAATGACATGAACACAACATCTATCTACAACTGTCTTTAAGACATTGGGAAAATTGGTTTAAGTTACAGGCGCCTGCTGTGTTCATGGTTATTGCACTCCCAACACATGAATCCAGTCCTGCCTTAGCCATAGTGAAGCCACCAGATGGCTTTAAACCAATTATGCTCTCTTAGCCTTAGAAAGAAGGCAATGGCAAACTGTTTCTAAAAATGTTGTCAAGAAAACTGCATGGATTTGTCCAGACAATTGCAAAGAGTTAAAATGGACTTGAAGGCTAAAAAAAATAAAAAGAGAAAAACACTCCAACTATCTGATAAAAATATAGCATGGGAATTTTTATAGAATTGAAATGATGCACTTAAACTACAGTATGTATATGAAAATTGCAATATAAAAATACATTTTCATGAGCCACAAGAGCAAAGCACTGTGTTGAATATGCCTGTATCTGCCTGCAGAACTGCTTTGCTTTCAGCTTTCAAGATTCTAATCATGAAGGTTTTTTTGATGCACATATCTCAGAAATCCCAAATTGCTCTGAGAAATCTAGATTTCAGCACTCTGTAATTATAATAAGGGCCCAGTTCTGTATCATACAGAAGCTTATTTTGCCTTTATGGTCTTAAGTCTTGTTAATTTACTAAGTGTTATCCATTAAAATGATGGGCTTATGCACTTAAATCCTTCCTAAAGTGAAAAAAACATTATTGAAAGCAGCACTACAATTGCATGCAATAATACTGGAGTATTTAAATCAGCTACTTTATTTTGGTTTTTTTTAATAAATTTTATTTTACAATTAAAACAGTCCAACAACACATACATAAATGTAAGAGAGAAAAAGAAAAGAAGAAAGGAAGAAGAAAATAGAAAGAAAAAGATAGAAAACAATTAAAACATTTTCATCTTCAACAGTTTGGGAAGACCTCCTTTTTATCCTTATTTTATGCCATATACACACTTAATCCTTACATATATCTGTATATCACTACTACGGTTCTATCCTATCCTCTTTTGCCTTTTAGTGTGGTTTATCCATTTGTACCAGCAGTTCCAGCTGTTGTAATATATTAAAGTGTCTTTATTTTTTAATGCCAAGGTTAATTTGTCCATTTCTGCACAACTTGAAATTTTTTGAATAATCATCTCCTCTGATGGAACATGAGGCTGTTTCCAACATTGTGCAAAAATCAGCTACTTTAAGTGGTAGAATTTGAACTAAGATTGAAAAGTAAGACTGAAAAGTAAAATGTTAAAATATAAACTTGTCTTACAATCTTTTGCATAGGTATTGTAATCTATCCTATTCAGATTACATTTAACTCTTACACAAGTGCTATTGTGGAATGTGTTGATAAATGAAAAAAACATTTATCAATGTCAGTATATCTGTTTGCCCCAAATTTGTCTTTGGAGATACCAGTAGCCCTCAACTTTTAACCATTTATTTAGTAATCATTCAAAGTTACAATAGCATGGAAAAAAGTGACTTATGACTAGTTCTTGGCAACTGGAAAATATTTATGATAGTTGCACTGTCCCGGGTTTATGTGAACACCATTTTTGACTTTCCCAACCAACTTCTAGAAAGTGAAGTCAGTGGGGATGACCGCATGATTCACTTAATAGCTACAATGATTTGCTTAACAATTGTGGCAAAAAAGATCATAAAATGGAGAAAAATATATCTAAACACTGCCTTGTTTACTAACAGAAATGTTGGGTTCAGTTGTAGCTCTGAATTGAGAATTAGCTGTAGAGTCAACAGCATTTCTAAAATCCAAGAACTGATCACACAGAGAGGATGCCAACACTAAGTTCCTATTCTTTTTTAGTTTTTTTCACAATCTTGATAATGTATTTTGATAATGTAATAGTGAACAAACACTATTTGTTCGTCACCTAAAACTGATTCATTTTCTATTCAATGTGAAAATTTCAATCAGAGTGCCTGTCAGAGTTTGCAGGTATTGCATTATTGATTGGACTATTACTATCAAGTTTATTTCATGTACCTTTGTTAAAAAGAGGAATTATAATAATATAATGAAAATGTAATCCTGTGACGTGGGAAAGGGATGGACATCAGAATTTCAAAACTAGGTTGTAAATGCTCCTGAGGAAATGCTTCTGGTAATTCTGAACAATTGCTAAGTGACTGCTCTTAAGTAAAAGGCTACCTGTACAGCACAGAATCAGGATACTAAACTTTCAATGTTACCTTCTAGTCAATTCAAGACCAATTGCTGCAAATACAGATAAAGCTTTGCTCACTTGGCGTCACTCACCTCCAATTGCATAGTTTGGTTTCTAATAGGCCATGGATTGGTTCATGGCCTGGGAGTTGGGGACCTTTACTCTACAGCACACAATCAGTATTATTAAATTACTGGGAGCTCCTGCACAAAGACCCTGTCCACTGAAATCTTTAGGAAAAGTACTTTACACATTGTGGTGCATTAGATTTTCTGACAGTGATAATGCAAGTCAAGAAACAATCAGATAGTGATGTCTGTTACAAAACTCCACAATCTTAGGATATCCATTTTGTTCTTGTATTTTTCCACTACATAAATATTTTATTACAAAAACAATTCAACCTGTCAATAATCTGTTTTTGTTAGTTTTTGTTTCGTTACAGAATTCTATAACTGCCACACAATATATGAGAATATGATTTTCAGAGACTTTGCTTTGTTTTCAATTATTTTAAGCATTTTAGCTGGACTGTGACTGAATAAAGATTTTATGATGATGATGATATGATAATGATGAAATAAACATTTTATATTTTTGTAAGCTACTTTAATTATGTAAGTTAAATCTACAAAAATATTCAAAATAAATTTAAAACCTAAAGAAGAATAAATTTGACACAAAACACCTACCAATAGTGGTTCTGGATATAACTCCAATTGTGCTCTGTATAAAACATCATCCATTGCTTTACGAGCCAGATCCCATTCTCCATTATAACTAGAATGTTAAGCCAAAAAATGAAACTGACTGCATGTTATAATATAGTATGATCATTCTTTCATTATCATAGCCATGCATATTAGTCATGAACAGATATTTAGTAAATGGTTTATAATATTACAAATACAAAAATTATACATTCAAGAAAAATTAGTAATATTAGGAAATATTTCAATGATTATAGAATATATTTTATTTCTAGCCACTTAACTATGTCTAAGTCATCTTATTTTATTCTCTTAGGTAAGAAATATATATATTGCAACTGCTATAGTATTTTGGAAAATCAGATTAGCAATTGATTCTTTATATATTTTGCTATAACATTCTGGTCTATTTTAATGAATTCAAAATGGACCAGTCATTATGATAGAACAAGAAGGTGATGTTTCATTGTGCTTAAAAGGTAGTATTTTATAAACAAATAAGATTTCAATGATTTGTTGCTCAATACTCTTTTTTTTATGCCCAAGAAGATCCCTAACCATACTATTCAAATTCAGTAGCTTTGTTTCCCGTTATTATCAGTAAAGAACAGTATTGCAGTAGTGGATATCTTAAGTATAATAATACAGGAAAAAACAAAAAAGATAAAATGTTGCAACTCTATTGAAACCAGAGGAAAGCCTGAAAATTTCTTGCAACATGCATGCGTGATGAAATTCCACCCATTTGACATCCACTCCTGGTCTGTATTTCAAGGTGGTCATGAATTCAACTCACTGAATGGATTTTTAAGTTACTCTTTTTAAAGCCACATGGCAAACACTATAAAATCCTAATACCTATAAAAAGACTAATCCTTCTTATACACACATATTAGCAAGTATCAAGTGAGATGGGATAAAGCATTGATGTAATTCAAATCTCTAACATTTTCAATCTGTTAATTATGAAACTATTAAATGGCTTGTTGTATCTGTTTTCCCCAAATTTGTCTTTGGAGATACAGTAGTCCTCAACTTTCAACTATTTATTTAGGAATCATTCAAAGTTACAACAGCACTGAAAAAAAGTGACCTGACTAGTTCTTGGCAACTGGAAAATATTTATGACAGTTGCACTGTCCCGGGTTTATGTGAACACATTTTTTATTTTCCCAACCAACTTCTAGAAAGTGAAGTTAATGGGGGATGCCAGGTTCACTTTAAGACCGCATGATTCGCTTAATAGCTACAATGATTTGCTTAACAATTGTGGCAAAAAAGATTATAAAAGGGAGAAAATATATCTAAACACTGCCTTGTTTACTAACAGAAATGTTGGGTTCAATTGTGGCTCTGAATTGAGAATTAGCTGAAACTATTAAATGGCTTGCTGTATATGGATATTCATGCTTTAACTCTTTCTCTACATTTCCAGTCTAAACCCATCACCTTCTCCCAAAAGTTATTAGCTTGTGACACACACACACGCACACACGCACACACACACACGCACATACACACATACGCGCGCACACACATATATATAATTTCATATTTCATATATATAACTATATTTCATATTTATGTTGTATATGGATATTCATGCACATACACAAACACATATTGGAGAGACAGACAGACAGACAGACAGACAGACAGACCTCATAGAAGTGATTGGACTACATTGATAAAATTTATGCATGGAAAAAATTAATATCATCTCTACATCACTACTTCAAAGCAGTTATGAGGGTCTGCTACTTTTAAAATACAATCATATGCTGTATCTCAATTACAATGTTTCTATCATGACTATTATTGTACCAGAATGCAAATTTGCCTTCTCAATATGTTTTCCTAACCAGGAAAATAGCAACATCTTAACCACCAGGAATTCACTAAAATTCTTCATTAGAAGCTTAGATTAGATAATTTTCAAACAGAATGCTATCTATAAAAGAAATTTGGACATTTAAAAACTATAGGACTACATTAAATTCAAGATTTGGCATATTTATTTGGCATGTTTCTATCATGTAATATGTATATTTTTTCATTTTACCCAGTGTTGATTTCAATGCATATAGACAAGTTATGATGGCTAAGAATTGGGGATAGGTGGGTGGAGTTGAGCACTTCTGTGATCCTAAGTATGAGCAAACTGCCAATCATTCAAATTTTGGTCACATTACCATGGGGGCCATTACTTCAGGGACCAGGCAAAAGAACAATTCTTTCAGCACTATTATAACTTCAAATGATCAATGGTTGTTAAATGAGAATTATCTGTAATAATTTCAGAATCACCAGCCTATGGGTGTAGGGCAGGGGTCCCCAACCACCGGTCCGGGGACCGGTACCGGTCCGCGGAACAACTCCTACCGGGCCGCTGGTTGCTGGGCACCGCCATCTTTTTTGATGAAAAAGTGCTTCCGGTGAGGTCACCGGAAGCACTTTTTCATCAAAAAAAGATGGCGGCGCCCACCTGGTGCTGGTACCGGGCCGCGGCGCCCAGCTGATGCCAGTACCGGGCCGCGGCATAAAAAAGGTTGGGGATCACTGGTGTAGGGTATTTAATCATTGTCATGTACATATTGTGGTTTGCTGATAAATTTTTAACAAGTGGCTCTGTCAGCTCCATTCCCACCACTGTCCCATGTGAAACCAGTATTTTAGGGAGAGGAAGGGTAGTCTATAGAATGTTTTTAAACATCTGATTGGTCCTAATCAGGATTAGTATAAATTTTGCAATTTTTCCCTTATGAAAGTACATGTCTCTTTTGGTTTTACTTAACAGAAATCATAAGCAGTTTTTTTTTTCATTTTGTGGGGCCAAAATCAGCTGCCAATTGTCATTCAGGAAGTCACTTTGGACAGTTTATAAAAACAATAGCAAGAAAGTTGAAAAATTCTTACCTGAGAATATCAACTGTGAGAGCTCTAAATTCTGCCTCTGCTATCATGTAAATAAGCATTCCAATTTGTATTTTATATATAACGTGCTCTAAAATTCACTATCACATGTATATGCAAGACATACATTTACTGAACTTACAAAGCATAATAAATCCCTGTTAACATTTGCACCATGAATTCAGAGGAGACTGGAATTCTGCTGTTTATGCCTCTATATTTTCGTACTTGTTGGCGAGGGTACCCACAAACGCAGATTCTAAAAGAAATACAAATATTAAAATTACCATTACTACTTTAAAATTGCTATATTACACTGTCCAATACTACTTTAAAATATGATGGATTTCAAAGTGAAAAAGTACTATTCCCAAAACAATCAAGAAACAAGTAATTTTTCTATGGGACAAATAGGTGGGTCAGCAAAGTGCATATACTATTTAGGAGCATAACACAGGATCTTTTAAATATTAATGATGAAGTTTAGAAACATATTTTATATCACTATCATGACAGTTGGGGGGGGAAATTTCCAAAGTGAAAAGAAGCTTTACATATAGTAGTATATCCTCCATCTCCAAAGTAAAATTAGTAGATTGCCCAATATTGCGCTTCCAAAATACTAGATTCTCTCAAGTAGGTAATTCCTGATGAGCTCATTATCCTTCAAGATGATCCAAACCAATAAGTAAACTATTATTATTTTTTTGTCAAAACAGGCTGTCCTTGCTTCCTGAATATTTGTTCTGCAACTTTTCAAAGTTACAAAAGTGCTGAGAAAATAACTATTGCCAATTTATGAAGTTCTCTCAGAGGAGGGAGATTGGAGAGAAAAGGATTGCAAGAGAGTAAGTTATTTGTTCTTCTACACACTAAAACAATATAATGGCGCTAGGAGCCTGGGACTCGGAGCTGCAGGTATGCTACACAAATAGCTTACAGTAGTCTTTTGAAATCTCTTCCTCTCTACCTTTCCTGCTCTGACTGAGCAGACAGGCTGAGTACCTGGGACACGATCTAGTAATGTGGTCTGGTATGTGTTTTACCTGGTAACTTGAGGAAGTAGACAGGGCTTTGTGTAACAAATTACACAAATTACTATAACTCCTGGATCACTGAACATTAATATTTTTCATGAAGCAATAAAATGTAATTAATACATTTTATTAATACAATAGAACAGAATGGTTCATAAATGAAATTGAATCATGATATGGATTTAAAAAGTCTCTGGGAAGATCTGAATTCTGATTTCTATTTAAGAGAGATTTGGTAAATTGCAGTTATGTCAAAATTACCTTTTTTTCCTCTCCAACATAAGTTTTTGTTTTTTAGTGAAATATATTCTTATATAATTATAGCATTAGTTTATTATTATCAATCTCTTCAGAAAAAGATTACCTTGAACATATTTGACATAAAGACTGAAGAGAAACCGCAGGCATGTAGCTTAAGGCAGCATTGTACCGTAGTAAAAGGAATGTCAATACTTCAAATCTATAAAACAAGGATTATGGTTAATTGAAAGAGTATAATTAATCATGCAAACAAAACATTTCCTCTTCATTGGTCAATCAATAAAAAAACTGTAATTGTTAAATATAAATTTATGAGAAAAGGATAATTTGGAAATGCCCAGATTACTTCTTTAATCTCTATAGTTGAAAACAGCATCGTGCATTTTACCTGTTTTGTGCTGTCAACATTTCTCTCTGCATATGAGGTCCACTATATACAACCCTGGATAAGCCGTGTTGAGATAAAGCACCCTCAGTAAGAGCCATTGAACCAATACTGGAAGGCTAAACAAAATAGTTTTTTTTCAATACATCATTAAAGACAGTATTAGTAATTTTTAAAAAAGCAGAAAGCAGTTTAGCATCTATGATATTTAGCATCAGTTTAGCATCTTGGTCAGTCATTCCAATTCATTTCACACAGTTGTTGTGGGGAAAATAGGAAGGGAAGGAATATTATGTTGCCACCCCCAGATATTTATAAAAATAATAAAGGCAAGAAATAATAAATAAATGCCATAGATCAGTGGTCGTCAACCAGTGGACCTGGGACCACTGGTGCTCTGCGAGAAAATTTTGATGATCCACAGAGAAATGTCACCCGCAAAGCATCCCCCAAAGCAATTAATCCAGGCTGTGCAGGAACACAAGGCTGCACCGCCCACATGGCCCGTGGGAACACAAGGCTTGCATCACTTGCATTGCAAACAACACGATGTAGTGAAGGGAGGTGGGAAAGGCCAGAGGGGGGGAGCTTGCCCCACTTATCCCACGCACCTTGCCTGGCCACCGGGCTGCTTCTTTCTGCTTCTTTCTTCTTCTGCTTTTGGCTGCATGCAAGGAAAGCAGCAAGTTTTTCTTTCTCTTCCCCAAACTCGGCCAGAAATGAATATTTGAGACCCTGCAAGGCATCCTTCTCCAAGAGGCTGCATCGGCACAACAAGTCTCACAATTTCTGGCAGAGTTTGGGGGAGAGAAAGAAAGACTTCTGCTGCTTCTGCTGCTTTCCTCGCATGAAGCCAAAAGTCTTAGTCATTCTCTCTCTCCCCCCCCCCCACCGAGAAGAGAGCTGGATATGGTATCCTGTGATCCCAAATAAAGAATGATCGATCGGTAGGAAAATGGGGTGGGGAATTTTCTTGCAGACTTTTTCTGGGATTCTCTGGTCCACGGGATTTAAAATTATGAGTTTGGTGGTCCCTGAGGTCCAAAAGTTTGGTGACCCCTGCCATAGATAGTATATAGCCCTCTGAAATTGTATTAACTGAACCTTTTTAGCATTTTGTTGAAATTAAATTGATGTGCATTGCCATTTTGGATAATATCCATTTAGTTATTCATTTTTATTATATCTTTGTTTATTTTCCCAAATAAAGTAAAAACTACTGTATATCTTTATTTTAATTGATCATATTTCAAAGCATGGAAATATCAGTGATGAAAACTTAATAAAACAACAAATAGCTTTCTAATACCTTCAAAGTTGTTTTCTAAAAATATTTTATTCAAATCTGCCCTGCCTTTTTAACTATATTAAATATATTTAACTATATTAGCAATATTAAATATTGAATATATTTGCCCATACACTACAAATATTTTTCTGGGAAGTAATGTGGATATAGATTTTTTTAAATCTTGGTAAATAATAAATTATCAATGTATATTTAATTTCAGTGAACACAGTGGATATAAAAAAATCTATACATCACTGTTAAAATGCCTGGTCTTTTGAGATGTGAAAAAATCAGATCCAGATAAATCATTCAAAATGTTTTCCATATTTAATATACAGTGCGTTCAAAAAGTATACAGATCCCCTTCACTTTTGTCAATTTTATTATGCTGCAGCCTGAAATTCTACAGTTGTTGAAATTCACTTTTTTCATTAATCTATACTCAGTATTCCATAATGACAAAGTGAAAACAGAATTTTAGAAATGTCTGTACATTTATAAAAAAACAAAAAATTGAAATATTACATTGGCTTAATTACTCAGACTCTTTGCAACAAAACTTAAAATTTGCAGAGATTTGGGGGAAAGCTACAATAAAACTTCTGCAACACTGAAGACTAAAAGCACAGTGGTCTCCATAATTCTCAAATGGAAGAAGTTTGGCACAATCAGAACTCTTCCAAGAGATGCCTGGTTAAATTGAGCAATCAGATGAGAAGGGCCTTAGTAAGAGATGTGACCAAGAACCCAACAATCACTCTGACTCAGTCCAGAGATCCTGTGTGAAAATGGGACAAAGTCCTAGAAGGACAACCATCACTGCAGCCCTCAACCAATCTGGACTTTATGGCAGAATAGCTAGATGGAAGCCTCTCCTCAGTGCAAAACAAATGAAAGCCCACTTGGAGTTTGCAAAAAAGCACATGAAGGACTCTCATGAGGACTCTCATGATGAAACAAAGATTGAACTGTTTGGCCTCAATTGTTCTATGTCTGGAGGATCACCTGCCCAATAACATCCCAACAGCGAAGCGTGGTGCTTATCACCTGCCCAATAACATCCCAACAGCGAAGCGTGGTGACTGTGGGGTGTTTTTCAGCAGCAGGGCCTGGGAGACAGGTCAGGGTTCAGAGAAAGCTGAATGAAGTAGAAGGATATCCTCAGTGAAAACCTGTTCCAAAGAGCTGAGGACTTCAGACTGGATCAAAGGTTCACTTTCCAATATGACAACCATCCTAAGCACACAGCCAAGACAATACAGGAATGGCTTAGGGGCAACTCTGTGAATGTCCTAGAGTGGTCTAGCCAGAGCCCTGACTTCAATCCTATTGAACATCTCTGGAGGGACCTGAAAATGGTTGTCCCCCAATGGTCACCATCCAACCGGACTGAGCTTGAGAGGATTTGCTAGGAAGAATAGCAGAAAATCCCCCAATCCAAGTGTGCAAAGCTTGTTGAATCTTACGCAAAAAGATTTGGGGCTGTAATTGCTGTCAAAGATGCTTCAATATTATACTGAGTAGAGAGTCTGAATACCCTAAGGGTCTAATGCCAATGAGATTTTTCAGTTTTTTTTTTCTTTTTAATAAATTTATTAAATTTTTAGACATTTCTAACATTCTGTTTTCACTTTGTCATTATGAGCTACTGAGTATAGATCAATGAGAAAAAATGAATTTCAACAACTGTAGAATCAGGCTGCAGAATAACAAAAAGTGAAGGGTGGGGTCTGAAACTGAAACATTTTAGAGGGAGAAATAATAAAAAAACCTACAACAACTTGCAATATCGCCACAGCCACATGATCATCATTCAGGTGCTTGGCCACTGGCATGTATTTAAAATAGCTGTAGCATCCTGAGATCACATGATTGCCATTTGTGACTTTTTCAGGAGGCTTCAAACAAGAAAGTCAATAGGGGAAGCTGGACTCAGTTAGGAACCATAGCAAAAAAGGTTATAAAATCTGGTGCAGTCACATGATGACTCATTGAACAACTGAATTGTTTAGCAGCAGAAGTTCTAGAACCTAGCCTCAGAAAGAATTTGTCCCTCTAACCAACTAAAAATGGAAAGTATAGTGTAAGTCCCCACATTTTAAAATGACCTCTGTGATATGGCCAGCCTACTTTTGATTCTTTCCTGAAAATGTAAATGCAGCCAAAGAATGCCCAGTACTAATTCAAATGTCAAAAGGCCAGATTATATTCTTTTAAGGGAGACTAAAACAAAGCTATAAACATCACATAAAACAAGAATACTTTTAAAACTTACTTCATGATATACTGAAGGTTTAGATAAAGATGGAATTGTAAAGCTTAGGATCCTACTGTTCCCTTGTTTGTCAACTATTTCCTATGAGGAGAATAATCAGGTTATTCATTTGTGTTTCATAAAATCAACAAACATAAAGCAGAACATAAGCTCCCAAATCATGCCATAATATTTATTATAAGCAAAGATGGAAATTTATACATTGTCTATAATTACACATATAACTTATTTGTAGCAAAATCTAAACATGTCTTATTTATTTAATCACATTTATGTAATGCTCATCTTCACAGAGTAACTGCAAAATCTTATTTTTTTACCTCCAAACCATTTAACTACCATGCGCCCTTTGAGTCATGTATAATATTTTATTACTTTGAAAGAAATTGTTAAAAATGATAAGATGGCAATTGTGTGAAATAATATGAAAGTGAGAGTAGCTATAATGCATGTTTTTAGTTTATTTACTTAAAAAACCTATTAAAATGCTACGATATATCACTTAAAATTAGAGATTATTACTTTAAAATGTTTTTGAAAGCAGTATATATGTAGGATCATTGCAGAGACCATTCACACATTTAAAAAGGTATTTAAATGCATTAGATTATTAGTATATTTTAATAAAATGCTCTTTAGGTTTTTTTAGTGGCATTATTGATTTTGCTCTGCCTATTTAGCACTTATTAATTAAACTCACTGCCCCAGGAACTATTTATTGTGTTCTGCCTAGCATTTAATGCAATTATCTCTTGAACTTTTAGACTTTATTAGAACTTGTTTTCTTTTCTAGATATATATTACTACACAGAAAATAACTTCATGCATTTGATAAAATTCCTTCTGGCCCAAGAAAGCATATAGCCCAATGAAAGTTTCAAGATTGCTCTTATATTAATAATAAGGATGCTGTTCTAAATGCAACTAAATTTTTTGAAACAGCAGTTAAATTTCCTTATTTATACAGAATCAAAACATTACACATTGAAACTTTATGTGTGCCAGCAGCTCAAATACTCACCAGTATCCTGAAATATTACAGATAAAAAATTGAATACCTTTAACACTGTTCTCATGGGTGTTTTCAGGACATTATCATAGACAGTATCATATACAGCATCATATACAATAAGCAAAAATTATACTACTACTAATGATAATATACAATATACAATATTATCATTAGTAGTACTTTTTGTTTATCAACACAAGCTTGATAACAAAGTACGGAGATAAAATTAATTACCAGCAAAGAGGATCTGTCTCCTACTACTTTGAAAATGAAATGAATTTATACCATATACTGCAGCTAATGAAAATGTCAGAAGATACAATGGTATGAATCCATTCCTCCTCATTCATATCTATTAGTAGAAATCATTTATATATCCCCATCTGCATTCATACCCAGTTTCTCACATTGAAGCAAAAAGACATATTCTATATACTTGGGAGTCCTCCTCTATTTCTAAAGCAAGCAAAAAATGTATATCCTATTATAGTATTGTGTGCCCATAAATATCCAATTTGATCTCTTTTTTTCAAATGACCAAAATAATTATTGGGGAAAAAAGTCTGCAAAATTTTAAAAAGGCAAAAAGCTATGTACAGACTCATTCATTCCAGAATGTAGCACGTTTTCTTATACAAACATTCTCATGGACTCTAGACTAAGTTTACATCTCATAAGCATATTCAACAACTTCACATATGAACTATTCTACCATCATCAGAAAATCTTAGGGGTAACCATGTACCACAAAGTATGTTAATAATCAAAATTTTGATACTATCCATTCCAATGAAATGTAATGACATCAAGAGCCTTTTGGGGGATTTAGTAACATATAAATTGTTGAATGAATGAATTCTAAGTCTAGATACAAACCAAATTGTAAACTCCTAGTAAAAGTGCTTCTATACAGCCACTGCTTTGTAGATCTTTACTAGCAGAAACAGCAAGATAGCACCATATCAATTCTGGAAGAAACTGAAGTGTGAACTGCAGAAGAAGTTCCTCACCACTGCGATAAAATTCAAATAACTGGTGACAGACTGGTTCCAGCAACTGAAAGGAAAAACAAGCATTAAACATTTGACTATGTTTACATATGACACTGTAAGATGCATTTTCTCACTACTTCAAATGTTTAGTATTACATTTGTTAAGTATTATATTGATTCCCAGTATTTAGTAAGCCTCATTTGTTTATCTTATTTAACAGATGTAAACTTTGCATAGAAGATGGGGGGGGGACAACCCTTTTTACTAGGAACATAGCAAGAGATGGATCTGAATCCTCATTGCTTAAAATTGTAATAAGTGTCATCCTTCCTGAAGATTTTACTTTTTTTGAAACAATGCACATTATAGTTATATTCAACTTTACAAAAGCTCAAGAAAAAAGAACATCATTTAGAAATTAAGTTTCAAATTTTCATGTCTGTATAGAATATCAACAAAACATTTTAAGATCTAAAAAGAGTATTTTGAAAAGCGAAACAGAATATTTTTTATTATAGAAATATTCTATTCTATTCTATTTTTTACTTCTTGTCATCATGTCACTATGCAATTTATTCAATGTTCACCCCAACTTCAATAAGTAATATCTACTTACCTCATTTTGTAGATCTTGAATAACTTTATATAGAGATGAAACCAAGGAAATCTTGTCTTTCAAATTTTTAGCATAACTTGCTATAGATGTTTCTGGTACTGTCTAACAAAAATCATTTAAGATATATAGTTTAATAAAAATATATACCATTCTAATTTTTAAATAATCTGTTAAATTAACCTCTATACCAAACACTGATCAAGCAGGTACATTAAAAAATCTTACAAGCATTGGCAAGAGGGCAATGGCCCTCTTCTATTATCACTCTTAGAAAGTAGATTAGTATTAATTCTAAAATTTAATATTACAATCTCTAAGAAAAAATATTTTATAATTCACTTCTTTAGTTTCAAATTTTCTTATAAGTAAAGAATCACAGATTACCTTGAATTCTGATAACCATTCTTCTACGATCCCTGTATCCTCATCCAACATATTTCAATGTATTCTTAATCTTCAACCTTAAATTGTGGGGCATAAGAAATAAATATTAATTTTCTAATATGTTTTTCCTACAAACCAGCAAGATTTCACACTTTTTTGATACAATATTATCATTAGTTGTGGTGTAATTACTTTTCATTTGTTAACACAAACTTGCTAACAAAATACAGAGATAAAATTAATTATCAGCGAAGAGGCTCCGTTTCCTACCATTGATGAAACCTACTGAATTTAGACCATATATTACTACATGTGAAAATGTCAGAGGATACAATGTTATGAATGCATTCTTCCTCATTCATACCTATTAGTAGAAATCATACACACACACACACACACACACACACACACACACACACACTCCAGTGTATTATTAATCTTCAATCTTAGATTTAGGGCATAAGAAGTAACTAGTCAATTTTCTAATACCTTTTTTTACAAACTGGGACTATCCCTGCAAGATTTTGCATTTTTTAATTATTATTTTTATTTATACAGAACTGCACTTGCCCTCTGAATAGATGTAGAAAAGAAAGTAGAACCAGAACAGAAACTGAACTGATAATTTCCCCTTTCAACTCAATAGTAAATAAAAGAGGAGCTCCAAAGGCCACATCCAAAATTTAGATGTTGTAGCCAATGGAACTGAACTGTAGCTATATAGTATTACAATAAAAGCATTCATTCTTCTCCCATACTATACATGTTTTTGTGAATGCAACTTCTTTCTCATCTTAGAAGCTGTAGTATCAGATAGCCAAGTAGGACACACCCAAATTAACTAATGACCAGTGTTTCCTAAGTCTGAGCCAATTTTCTAACAGTTATATGCACAGAAAGGTAACAATATATATTCACAAACACAGTATCTCCTTATATTAAAATAGAAAAATATTACTTATGTTAATTAGTAATGTAATGTGAATGTGAATTTTATTAACACTATATATTAATAATCTAAATCTTAAGCAATGTACTATATAATTACATTTCAAGTATTCATTATTTTTAAAAAAGAAAATAACAACTTATGCTAACAATGCTGGATGTTTTTTTCTATGTACAAGTCAGTATGTTGAAATGATCACAGGCTGCATTCAAATGCATCAACAAATAGCATTGTTCACATTTATAAAGTATTAAATAAAATGAGGAATGCTGGTTTAATCTACAATAGCCAAGAATCAGAAGCAATCTAGCAGCCCCTTTTCAGAGTAACAAATTTTATTAGAAGTATATGTTCATAATTGATGAAACCTCATACCTTTTAATAAAATGTGTCAATCTGACAAGGTGCTACATACTGCATAAATACGAGGAGGAAATAATAAATTGACAATAACAAAGTAAACTCACACATATTCAGAAGAGACACATGAGGAAAGTAGTATATTCAAGAATGAGAGATCCATACATGTAGTCTTCAACTTATGAAATTATGATAATTAGTCATGGTGGTCAAGGAACTACATGATCACCTGGCTTAATGACCACAATCCTGTTTTGCCAGCTGAGGAAAGACCTGCACTGCAATATCTCCACAGCTAAGGCATCTCAGAGCTTCCATGACCTTCTGAATCACAAATTCTTACCTTGCTGGATCCCTACACTTTTGGGCTTCCTTCTTCTTCAACAAGTCTTGCTTCGTTTACCTTTTTCAAAAAATATCTTTCCCAAGGAGAAACAGCTAATTTGCCACACAGCCTTCCCATACAAAGGCCTCTAAGTGGCATTCCAGAATGGGCAATTTTGGGGAGTGGTCACAATTCTCAGATTGAATTTGAAGCTGCTTCTAAAATGGCACCTGCACTTGGGATGGCATGTGGCATCTATATAGGAAGGTTGTGTAATGTATTAGCTACTCCTTGGAAAAGGCAATCTTTGGAAGAAGTAAGTGGAGTGAGATGTGATGGTGCAGGAGAGACTCAAGAGTGTGAAAAAAAACCCCGGCATGAAGTAGCCTAAGGACGGGATGCGGGGGAGATAGGCAGGTGAGGACAGCTGCAGCATCCCTGTGGTCAGTTGTAAGGAAAAGCAGATTGCTAAGCATCCAAATTTTGTTCAGGTAAGTATGGGGGCACTGCAGGGGCCGTACCTCAGATACAGATTGCGAATCCTTTTGTTCAGGACCATCACAATTTCAGACAATAGTAGAAACGAATGGGATAAATCAAAGACCGCCTGTTATAATTTTCTACAACTGTCTGCTGCCAGACAATTCATACTACTGATATTATTAGCATTCTTCAAATATATAT